TATTGCAATGCTGGGAAATGAAACCCAGAGCCAAGCTAAGCAAGCAAAACTCTACCACTGAACTCCCAGCCCAAGTCTTCATTTCTCAGGAGATCTAAAAAGACTCCCCTGCTCCCATCCACAGCATTCGGGCTGTGGAAACGTCTCATTTGACCCGGGATGGCTCTGTCGCAGACCATCCCTGCAGCTGTACCGTCCCAGATCTGAGGTGATCTAGAAATGGTGACAAGAGCGCTGTGGGGATCTGGGGCCTACAGCTAGCACAGCCTAGGCTGTAGCATCTGTTGTAGTTATACATGCCTTCATGTCTCTGTGATGGGCAAACTGCTCATGCTTCTTGAGACCTATGCCTGATGCTTAGCAAGTATTTAACCGGATTTTCCACCAGACAAATTCAGTCCCTTTTGGAAGGTATGGCAGGTCTATTCTCTCTACACTTGACCAAGTCAGGACTCAGACAGTGGGAGGCTTTAACCCAAACTTCATCGGCTCATGAATAGCTGAAGCCATCATCAAAGAAAAAGGAGGGCCAGGGAAGTCAAGTACAGAACCAGCCCCACATTAAAGCCCATATTCCCAGACAGGAATTAGGGCAGAGCTGCCGGCTGCCGGTCTCCCCTTACTAGCACTTCTTTTTGACATTTTCTCTCGTATTTTTCTAATGTCACAATGAGCTAGAATTTGAGCTGTTTCTATTGTCCCCGAAGACTTCAGGTTGCCCTGTGGTGACACAAAACCTGAAATCCAGTCTGGGCCTTGGGGAAGCAGAGCCATGGTGTGTTTGTCATTTTTAGCAGTCATCGGAGTGTCTAGCATTGTCTGATTGGCTACTGGAATTAGCCATTAAACAGAGCTCTCAGTCACTGAACGCTGGGGGCCTCCTTGAACTCAGCTGGGTGGGAGATCTTCCAGGGTGCCCGTCAGCTCTGAACTAAGACAGAGAGCAGAGATGGGCCCGGTAGCTGTGACAGCTGCTGATGAAAGCACACTCCCTGCCGTCCTTTGTCTGGGAGTCTGGCCTGTCTTTGTCAGGGCGCTGTATTATCATTGCTGTCCTGTCCGGTCTGCTCACTAACCAGTGGAAGAGACAGTCGGGAGAGACCCTGGGCTCCTATTCCATGGTCAGCCCTCCCCAGGGACTTGAAGCCTTCTGCTACACAGCAGAATTTGTTCCGTACACTGAGAGCAGAAGTAAGAAAAGGGCAATTCTGGACATGAACTTAGCCCCATCCCTGATTATAATGTCTGGGTTTGTCACATTTCTTTGTTGATTTGGGGATGTTTTGTTTTGAATTACATTTTATTTTGTCAGGGAAGAAGGTGCATGCCACAGCACCTATCTGGAGGTCAGAGGACAAGTTTGGGGAGCTAGTTCTCTCCTCTTATGAGTTCCTTGGAGAGAACACAGGGCGTCAGGTTTGGTGGCATCTTTACCCACTGCACAGCCCTTGGTTATTGTTCTTTTTTTTAAATATTTATTTATTATGTATACAATATTCTGTCTGTGTATATGCCTGAAGGCCAGAAGAGGGCACCAGACCCCATTACAGATGGTTGTGAGCCACCATGTGGTTGCTGGGAATTGAACTCAGGACCTTTGGAAGAGTAGGCAGTGCTCTTAACCTCTGAGCCATCTCTACAGCCCCTTGGTTATTGTTCTTTTGAGACAGTCTTATGACTCCTGGCCTGGCCTTGAATTTCAGGTGGGGACCACCACATCCTGATCACTTATCATTTCCTTTTTTTTTTTTGAAACGGTTTCTCTGTGTAGACTAGAACTCACAGAGACCTGCCTGCCTCTGCCTCCCAAGTGCTGGGATTAAAAGTGTACGCCACTACTGCGTGGCTCACTCATGTTTTCCTAAGGATAATTCTAAAATACTTCAGACTCATTGAACAAAACCAGTATTTTTATTAGTGCTTTAAAAAAGTATTTTTAAACATGTGTTTATGTGCTACATGGTGCTTATGTGGAGGTCAGAGGGTAACTTTCAGGAGTCAGTTCCTACCAAGAGTCCCAGGACCAAACTCAGATTATTGCATTTGGATTTAATTATTGTGTGTGTACTTGTGTGTATGCAGTGCTTCAGAGGCCAGAAGAGCACATTGGATCCCCTGGAACTGGAATTATAAGGAGTGACCCCCCCAGGTCGGTGCTGGGAACTGAACTCATGTCCTCTGTAAGAGCAATAAGCACTCTTATCACTGAGCCATTTCTCCATCCTCCTTCCCTGCAAAATAGTTTTTAAAGCACCATTTTCATTGCTCTGAGTTTTGATTTATGCCTCTCCACAGAAGCCCCTTCCACTGTTGTCTTAAATATCACCCATGACTATGGCAGGACACATTGAATGTCACAAAAAGGCCCATATCATAGACTTGAAAGCAAGCAGTAGCAAGGCTTGAGAAGACTGTGTGTTAGAGTTCATCACATTCGTTTCCCACAGAAGAAGAGGTTCATACACCCAGCATCACTGTAGTTATCAACTCTTCTGGCTGCTCGGAAGCTTGCATTTACACAAGGAAAGTGGGACATGGTGACTCGTGGCTTTAGTCGTAGGTCTGTAGAGTGCCAGGCCAGCCAGGGCTGCATATGAAAATCTGCCTCAAAATACTGAGCGATGGACAGAAAGAAGGAAGGAAGCGGGAGAGAGAAGAAGGAAGCAGGAGCTGTGCAGTGTTGCACACCTGGAATTCCAGAACTTAGGAGGTGGTGCAGGAGGGCGAGCAAGCCCAGCCTCACATCTTGCCTCAAAACAAACAAGAAAATTAAGTAGGGACTGGAGAGATGGCTCAGCTGTTAAGAGCTGGGGTCAATTCCCAGCATACACACACACACACACGGTGGCTCACAACTGTCTGCCACTCCAGTAGCAGAGAATCTAACACCCTCTTTTGGCCTCAGTGGCACCAGGCATGCACATGATACACATACATACATGAAGGCAAAACACTAAATACAGAAAATTTTAAAAGGGCATGATGGCACATGCCTTTAATCCCAACGCTCAGGAGGCAGAGGCAGGCAGATAGATCTCTGGGAGTCTGAGCTCAGTCTGGTCTATACAGCAAGTTCCAGGACAGCCAGAGCTACATAATAGAGATCCTGTCACAATGATGATGATGATGATGATGATGATGATGATGATGATGATGATGATGATTAAATAAAATGTTTTTAAAACCTACATAAATAAAGTTAAAAAATAAACAAGCCAGGCAGTGGTGGTGCACACCTGCAACCCAGCACTGGGGCAGGCACTCTCTTGAGTTCGGACCATCCTGGTCTACACAGCGAGTTCCAGGACAGTCAGGGCCACAGAGAAACCCTGTCTCAAAAAAGAAAAAAAAAATAAATAAATTAACAAAGTGAAAAGTAAAGCACCAAAGTACAGTGTGCCTTCAAGAGCCTCCCCAGTACTCACCTGGGCAGACAGAGCAGGGACCAGCGGTCACAGGTGACTGCGTGCAACCTGGGCAGTCCTGTCCTAGGGCTGGTCATCTTAGGAGCTAGCTCCTCCATATGTCACAGACCAGCTGCCAGGACTCTGTCCCCAGGTTTGGCTGCTATTGAGAGCCTCAGGGAGAGCCGTGTGAAAGCAGCATCCCTATGCTGAGCGCCTGCACACGCTCAACAGAGGCACAGTCCTCAAGTAAGCTGTGGTTCTGAGATTACCTGGCTGCCGAGCCCCAGAATCATTAGGAGAGCCATCCCCAGAATACTTTCTCCTTTGCTCTTTTCTACCAAATGTGAGGTGTGTGGAGAAAAGCAAATTCACAAGGAGTCTTAGCAGCTCATTTTTACCAGTGACCCCCCCCCCGCCTTTTTTTTACTGAGCAACTGATCCATTGACCCCTTGAAAACCTCAAAAGCCTGTGGGTTGACCATGTCCTGTGGCTACAATTCCCTGTCCAGTTCATTTGTCAGCTAAGTGATCTCAGTGCTGTGCTGTATCTTGAGTCATTAGTTAAATCTTCTTAGAATTTTAGACCGGGTCTTATAAACTTGGTTGGTCTCATAATTCCTGGCAGTCCTTCTGCCTCAGCCTCCTGAGTGCTAGGATTAGCTTTATTTAACTCTTTCATTGTTTAGAAGCTAAAGATTTTTCTGACCCTGGGGGTGTAACTTGTTAAGAATGGGTTGAATGTGCATGGGTGCTCACTCCCCACATAGTCTTGAGTGTCTTCTCTGGCTAGCTCATGCATGGGTCCATCTGAACATCACTCACACATCCTTGGTGGTGATTAGGCCTAACAGGCGCCTTAGTCGAAACTGCTTGATTTGGTAACAAGACCAGTTGGATCACATTATTGGCAGTGCATCCGAGGGCAGATGTTCCCATTCAAGTCCGTGAAACTGCCAGCATTACAAGCCAACAGTCAGGGCACTGATTGACAGTGAAGTTTTGTTGTGGATTTACTATGTCAGACTTTAAGCTCAGCTGTAAAATAGACTGATACTGTCATCTTTGCACAAATATAGATTTCACATTTAAATACTGTCCTTGACTCAGGTCCTAATTCTTCCTCAATGTGCTCTTTAATGTCTCTACCCAACCACAGCCCTGCTCCTTTAAATGTCACACTTAGTACCTCTTGCCTAAGGAGATGGCACCTCCAGGTGCTCAGAAGATATTTTTGGTGTGTTATAAGAAAATGTGTAGTCTGTGGCCATACCACCCCGAATGTGCTGATCTTTGAAGCTAAGCAGGGTCAGGCCTGGTCAGTGCTTGGATGGGAATACCCCATGCTATAGGCTTAAAAAAGAAAGGAAGAAAGGAAATAATACATGTATTAGCTGACAGGGCATGTCCAGTTAGGACTCTGGGCAACTCGTGCCCAGAGAGGCGTGCCTTGCTAAGTCGCCTGCCTTTGCTTGTCCCCTACATGCCCTGGACATGAAGGGCTGCCACTGAGGCTGTATGAAAAGCTGTGTTTGAAGCCTGGCTGTCCTCTGGAGAGCAAAGTGAAAAGATGGCCTCATTCTTTCTCCATCGCAGGTCCTGCTGCACCGCCTTGTGTCCGCGATGAGCACCTGGGCTTTGCTCCGTTTCCCTGCACCGCTGATCAGGATGTGCTCAGGGAACTGGGGACTTGGGCTTCAGGAGAAGCCAGCACTGCTCTTCCCAGGAATGGCTGCCACTGCAGTGCAGGTGGCAGGCAGAAAGGACTATCCTGCTCTGCTTCCCCTGAATGAGAGTGAGCTTGAAGAACAGTTTGTGAAAGGCCATGGTCCAGGGGGCCAGGCCACCAACAAAACCAGCAACTGTGTAGTGCTCAAACATGTGCCTTCCGGCATTGTGGTCAAGGTAGAGAGTGGAGGGGGCGGGTAGATGAGAGGAATCCAGGTCTGCAGCCACAGCAGGTTTCAGTAAGGGGCATGCCCATTCGGGCACTGGCATGCTCTGCCAGCCCAGTAAAATCAGGGCACTGCAGATGTACCCAAACCCTGAGCTGTCTGTCCCTCCGGAAATGAACCTCCTGCCCAGTCTCAGGAGCCAGAGCTCTGCCACTGTCCTTGAATTTAGCTGTGTGTCACCAGCAAGGGATGCTGTGGTTAAACCTGCTGCCCCCAAAGCCACCCCTGGTCGGCGCATGGAACTGATGGACTGTGCTTCTGGCTAGCTATCTCAGTCCTCGGTAGGGTAGCTCTCCATGTCCCTGTGCCCTGCTTTGCAAATATCTCTAACACTTGCCCTTCCTAGGAAGAGATGAGGTGGAGTGGAAGCAAAGGCAAAGCGCTCTTCACAGCTGCCAGTGTAAACCTTCCTTAAAGAAGGCGGTCTCTAGTCAAGGGGGTGTGGCCAGTGGCCAGGTGCCTTCTAGCCCAGAGCGCAGCAGACCCACTGCCTCTGAAATAGGAGTGAGGCCAGTAGAGCCACCAGCCAGCCACGCCACTGCTGTGTGTGTGTCCATCACTAGAGGGCCCAGAGCAGCACACGGCCCTGAAGGAGCATGCAGGCAGAGCAGACTTTCCCCGGCACAGCCAGTCTAACAGCAGGCACTCTGTGTGTTAGCTGTGAGGCCGGAAAACACTGCTTACTGCCTGAAGCAGACAAGGAACTTGCTCACCCAGTGTCCCTCAAGGGGAGTCCAGTTTCTGGGGCCAAGAAGACATAAGTTAAAACCCTCATTCATAACAAAATTCCAGAAGCATTTTTGTTGCACTTGTCACTAGCTTCGTTTTCCTTTTGAAAATCTCCCCTCACGCCACAGCATTTCCTTTGCCCCTCAACTCTGCTAGGCCCCGGCCACTGTCATTTCCACATAAACTGAATGTTGTGGCAAGCTGTTATCCAGACGGATACACAGTTGCGAATGGCATACGAATTTTCCACAGGGGTCGCTCCCTGACCACATGCTAGAGACTCTGGTCAATGCTTCCATTGTTACTTGGAAACTGCTTAAATTAGTTAAAAGCTATTGTTGGGGGTGAAAAGATGACTCAGTGGTTAAGAGCACTGGCCCACTCTTCCAGAAGACCCAGGTTTGATTCCCAGTACCCACATGGCTTACTCAAAGGAGCTCATGCCTTTCCCTCTGTGAAGAATGGGTGGATTGAGGGACTAGGGCTCTGAGGTCCTGCCCGTCTCCCCACACCCATGGTTTTCACGTTCCTGCCGTGATCTCTTACAGTGCCACCAAACACGATCAGTGGATCAGAACAGAAAGATAGCTCGGAAAATCCTCCAGGAGAAAGTGGATATTTTCTACAATGGTGAAAACAGCCGTGTCCACAAAGAAAAACTAGAGGCTGGGAGGAAAAAGCAAGCGAAGAAGAAAAGAGCAAAGGAGACCCTAGAAAAAAAGAAGTTGTTGAAAGAACTATGGGAAGCAAGTCAGCACGTCACTGAGGAAAGGACTGGTGCTGATGGTGTGCCAGGGGGCTTTCGGGAATAGCAGTGGTAATGCCTGGCACAAGTGTTGGAGCATCTAAAGAGAGCGGCCTGGAGGCGGAAGTGGTGGTACACACTGCAGTCTCAGCACTTGGGAGCGCTAGGGCTTGGGCAGAAGCACGTGTCCCACAAGTGAGTTTGAGCCTCAAAATCCACATAAGGGTGGAAGGTCAGAACTGACTCCAGAGTTATTCTCTGACTTCCTGATGTATGCTGTGACACGTATGCCCACACTTGTCACATACAAAAATGAATAAGCAGGGGGCTGGAGAGATGGCTCAGCGGTTAAGGGCATTGCCTGCTCTTCCAAAGGTCCTGAGTTCAATTCCCAGCAACCACATGGTGGTTCACAACCATCTTGTAATGAGGTCTGGTGCCCTCTTCTGGCCTGCAGACATACACACAGAATATTGCATACATAATAAATAAATGAAAGAATAAATAAATAAATATGAATAAGCAATACAAGGTTAAGATAAAAAAAAACAATTTGATAGAGTACTGATATTAGTTAACCCCACTTTTATGGCAAGTTGAACTGAACAATAGCACTTATTGGCATCTTGTCAACTCCAGGGACATTGCTGAGCTGTCTTAAGGTATCATTTAGCCTTAGTTTTTGGTAAAGGGTATGGTAAAGAAAACGAACTGGCCGGGCGGTGGTGGCACACACCTTTAATCCCAGCAGAGGCAGGTGGATCTTTGTGAGTTCGAGGCCAGCCTGGTCTACAAGAGCTAGTTCCAGGACAGGCTCCAAAGCTACAGAGAAACCCTGTCTTGAAAAACTAAAAAACAAAGAGAAGAAAACAAGCTGTCAGTGAAATGGCACTAAGTTACCTGCTGTGCTTACTGGTTTTAATAATTCACACAAAGCTACCATCACCAGGGAAGTCTTAGTGAGAAATTATAAGGATGTCTGTGGGAATTATCTGTATTGTTAACTAAGTCAGAAAACCCAGCTCATTGTGGGCAGCATCATTCCCTAAACAGGAATCCAGAATACAAGAAAGCTCGCTAAGAAAAGCAAGCAATGATGCTTTACTCTCTTGACTAGATGTGGTATACTACTGAGTTCCTATCTTGACTTCCCCTAAGATGACTTATTGTAACTTGAAATAGCAAGCTAAATAAATTCTTCTTTCATAAGTTGCTTTCTGCCCGGGTATTTTATCACAGCACCAGAAATGGATGTGGAACTTGCCAATTGGACCTTACAGTCTTTGGTTTTGGAGTTAAGGTCTCATGTAGCCCAGGTTGGCCTTGAACTCCTGGTCTTCATGTCTCTGTCTCCCCCAAATATTACTGGCGTGCACCGCCACACAAAGCTACAGGTGGTTTTTCATTTGTTTGGTTTGCTTTCCCTGTTAGAATTCCAAAGGTGGTCCACATCTTTAATCCCAGCTGTGAGCTCAAGGTCAGCCTGGCCTACATAGTAAATTCCAGGATATAGTGAGATCCTGTCTCAGGAAGGGGAAATGCCACGACAGGTGTGCTGATGTCACTTTAGAGGGACAAGTGTACCCTGGCAGAGGAGGAAGCAAGGAGAAAAATAAAATAACCAGAGAAGGGTAAGGAGGGCGATGCCAAACCAGACTTCCGAGTAAGACAATCAAGCCGGGAGCAGAAGGCCTCTAGCAGGTGGTGAACTTCCCGCTGGACAGGCAGGAGCCTGCATGTCTTCTAGAAAGGGTGTGTGCATGACCTCTGGTCAGTATCAGTTACTATATGGAGGCAGGCTTTGTGATTGGTAGTAGACAATGGCAAATCATGCTAACTGGCATCACCTGACATGGAAACTTGATGTTCTATACCTCATATCTGGTGAGTCCATGACACCTCCAAAGTACCACTCCCTCCTCTTTAATGCACCTTCTGTGTCTGTGCATTATGAGCTGTTTGGCCATTAAGCTTCTGAGAAGGGACTCTGGGATGGGGCAGGACAGAGAAACCTCTGTTTACATGTGGCTATAGATCTACAGATAGGGAAAACAGTGAGGCTCGCTGTTACCTGCCTCACCTAGAGGTGGAGAAGCACAGTTCATTAAGCTGCTCTAGGCTGGATACTGCATTACATACATATGGAAGCTGCTCCTTGGGATACTCCAAACAGGGATCCCTTTGTTGTAACAGTAGGTCCTTCCTATAATCAGGCTCCCCTGAACAGGGAGTTAGGGAAAGAGGCAGAAGAAACTCACAGGAAGGCAAATTTAGAACTGTAGCTAGGAAGGGCAGCTTCTGTTTCCTTTTGCACACTGGTGTTCTGCCGTGGAGATGCAGCAGAGCCCATGGTCCCCTCCGCTAGCCTTTGAACACTTTGTGAATGGGCTCTTTGCTTCTCACCCTCAGCACTGTATATCTGATACGCGTCTTCAAGCAGCTCAGAACAAAGCCTTGTACAGGACCAGTTTTCACTCGGCAGAAACTCCTGCGTCCCAGTAAATACTGTGGAGACCACAATGACTCAATATATCCAAGCACGACTCGTTTTCCTCAGCACCGGAGCATATATCATTATGATTTTTTTTTTAAAGCAATGCTTCACTATGAAGCTTGGCTGGCACAAAGTATGTGATCCTCCTGCCTCTGTCTCCCAGGTTCTGGGACTGCAGGAGTGAACAAACTGCCCAGGAGATCCCTGAAGCACCCACCTGCTGGATGGTGGAACAGCGCCCCAGGGCTCATCACTAACGCCTCCCTCCCTTGGGGCCACATGTGGGCCTGTTATCCCTGAGACTGAGGCACACAGTTCACACCCGCTGTGCTGGTGAGATGTCTCTGAGTCAGATAGGAAATGCATTTAGCAGATATCTCCAAACCCTCCATCAGAAGCTTCAATAGTGACCCCCAACCCTGGGGAAACCAAGGCCTGTGTCAACTATAACTGTCCTCCCCCAAAGAAAAACAACCACTGAAGACTCAAGAATCCCACATCTTAATACAAACTGTTAATGAAAATAAGCTTTATTACATCAAGTAATAAATACAAAGATGCAACAGTTACAGTCGTTTTCTTCCAGATGTTGTGACCGTCTCACAGTAAACACGGAACTGAGATCCACAGTCTCAGGATGGACATTTGCAGGGCACGTGGCAGGTTGGGTAGATTGCTCTTTCTTCTGTATTTATAACTTGTGCATGTTTAAGATTGACTTCAAAGCATCAGTCATGCAAACGCTTAAGCAGAGCAGCTCTGTGAAGCAGGTCTACACTGTACACAGGCAGGCCAGCTACTAAGCAGATGTGCTGTGGTCTGCACTCCAGTCCTCAGAGGCAGGTGAGCTCATGGAAAGAAGTCAACTGGGGTGAGGCAAATGGCAAGTGTATCCAAAGGGAGATTTTAAGGGGGACACTGGTATTTGGGGGCAAACAATAGCTTGCTGTGAAGTGGCTTCACAAACATCTTTCAAATCAATGCTTGGAAAGAAAAGAGCTGGATCGTTTCTAACTACTTAAAATGCACATCGTCAGTAACTGCAAAATGTCTTCCCAATCTGAATGTGGGTTCAGAGCTTAATGACCAGGGCAGGAAAACTGCTGCCATTTTGAACAAAGCCTGTCATCTCCATGGGGCAGCGAGATGGGCCTTCAGACTGGCCAGGGCTAGGACCTGGCATTACGTTCCGTTTCGGCCAAGCACTCCCGAACCAGGCTTCGGGCATGAATGATGCCTGCAAGAGAAACAGAGACAGCATCAGCCCATGCACAGAGCAGGAAGAAAGCATGTTGGTTAGACCCCAGTCACGATGTCCTCATTCTGGAGTGGAATAGAGGGTCTCAATCCAAACACTGCAAAGGCCAGGCTGCTAAGGAAGCTGTGATGGGAGAAAGTCATTTGAACCTAGGAGTTCAAGGCCAGTAACATCCAGTTTGCTCCTTTAAAAAAAAAAAAATCACAATGCTATGCCCAGGTGGTGGCTCACACTGCAATCCTAGTACTCTCAAGGCAAAAATCAAGACAGCCTCAAATCTTTTCACACTGGTGTGACGTGCTTAGTTCAGCAGCTGGCTAGGGTGACATGAAGTCTTCCTCATTCTTGTAGGGCCAGCAGCTCCCTCGGGATGTATCCTGCAATGGCCACTTGGTACATCCATATATAATTCAATTCACTGGCTTTAGGGGTGGGTGCAAATTTGCTTAAGACATCACAGGTTAGCATCTTCCCAGGGATCTCTATCTAGAACCAGCTCTCCAGTTGTCCTCTTGTTGTGTAAGCAGCAGGGTTGGTGCCACAGGGGATCCTATCTCTCACTGTCGGCTGCCATCCATCTCCACTCCTGTCCCCGTTCCTACTCAGTCTAGTCACCTTCACAGAGATTCCATGGACTCAGCCGAGCCGGCTCTCGGCTACAACCGATCCGTAGCTGGCCTAGCTGTGGCTGGCAAGTCTGACTTCATGCGGCCCTTGGCACAGACCAGGGACCTCCAGATCCAGGCCATCTCCATTCTTCCCCAGGTTCGTTCTGTAATGTTTTTCATCAACCAAGTCCCTCCTGGTCAGGAATGAACCTACAGCCCTGGCTCCTCTGATAACTTCTAAATGGAACGCCTGTCCCCTCAGCAGCTTTGTCATGAGGTAGCACGCTGCTCAGCATCTTTCACACCTGATTCCCTTGCTTTCTGTGACATCACTCTCCCTTTTCAGTCACTAAAGAATCTCAAGGGCAGTGGGGACCATTTGAATTAATGAGTAGTTTCAAATTTGTAAGATAAAAGGTTTTGGATGCACACAGTGTGATGGCTATACAATAATATGAAAGAACTTCAGTTGTTAAGATGTTAAATTTTATGTTACATATATTTTGCCACAATTAAAAAAAAAATGGGGCCAGGCAGTGGTGGCACACGTCTTTAGTCCCAGCACTTGGGAAGCAGAGGCAGGCGGATCTCTGTGAGTTAGAAGCCAGCCTGGTGGTCTACAAAGCGAGCTCCAGGACAGCCAGAGCTGTTACTCAGAAAAACCCTGTCTCGAAAAACAAAAACAAAACAACAACAAAAAAATCAGATGAGCAATGGTGGCGCACGCCTTTAGTCCCAGCACTCAGGAGGCAGAGACAGGTGGATCTCTGAGTTCAAGGCTAGCCTCGTCTACAAAGCAAGTTCCAGTACAGTCAGAAATAACAGAGAAACCCTGTCTTGAAAAAAAAAAAAATCAGAAACAAACAAACACAAAAGGAACTCTCAAGTTGCTCCCTATCCTGATCAGGGGAGAGCCTCTGTGGTCCCGGCCGCCCCCCCCCCCCCCCCCGGGAGCACAGAAGGGGAGAACGCTCCATTAGGGTCAGTAGACCCTCTCTGACAAGGTACAGTAGTGAGGGGTGACCCCTTCTCAGAAACCCCAGTAGCCCCTCAAACCCAGCTGCCACACCTGCAACAGCACACGTGTGTATCACTAACCCACAGATCAAGGGACTTTCCCTGACTGCCTCCAGTGTGTCCTCTAGGAGACCTCTCTACCTCCTGGGCTCAGCCTCCTGCCTCAGCCTCCCAAGGAGCTGGGACTACAGGTACCCCACCGACATGCTCGACTTCAGAAGTCTTCAACAGTGACAGGCAACCTTAAGACTCTTAAGCACGCCCCTGGTTTACCTCGTTTTAGTCTCTCCATGGCGCTCTTGCTCCCTGCATATGTGGGTCTGATCTCTTTCCCCAACTCTTCAATGATGGCCAGCAGCTCTGCATATTTACTCTGAGGCACCTGGCTATTTCCAGTTCCCTAGGACCAGAAAACAAAGGTTTGGATGGACGGATCCACCCCAGTGGCCACACATGGGTGGAGGGAAAGAGACCTAGCCTTGGCATCTCAGGACGGCCCCAGCTTTAGAGCTGTCGCATAGGTACAACTCTAAAGCAGGGCAAGAGGCCCTCACCTGCTGTCCCCCAACTCAGAAAACATGCAAGTCTCCATCCAGAAACCACTTTACCATCCACACAGGAAGAAAGATCTGGTGTCAAAGTGACACGTAACAGGGGACACCTGAATCCATGAGGGGAGAGGGGCGTCTCCTAGGAGTGAAGCATCCACAAAGAGTGTAAGACAGAGACAGAGGTCACCACTGGGGGACCTCAACCATCGCTAAGGACCCAGGATGGGGCTAAAATTTATCAAACACACCACATCCTTCCCACAGACAGTCTCTGACTCCAG